TGGAGATTCAGCAAGGCTGCTCTGGAGGCGACTTGCAGGTTGTGCCCAGCACTAGGGCATGGTGAAGAGCAAGTGGGGGCTGTGACCCAGCCATGCACCCCGCAAAGGACTGCATCTTTACAGAAGAAGGGGCACCTTTTTTTACATTGGCACCAAGGCACTGAATGAGAAGAGAGGCATGTGCCTGTCCTGAGCTGGGCTGCCACAGAGGAGGACCGAGGGGCTGATGCTGGTTACGGGAAGCCCTTGACCCAGAGAAGGGTGTCTGCAGAGAGGCAGCTCCCCATGCATACCCCAAGGGTGCTGTAGAAAGGTCCATGAGACCAGTAGTCATGAGGGGATGGCTGCCAGGTTCCAGGTCCCTGACCGTGATCTGCTTCATTTGTCATAAATAGATGCTCATGTGGGAATTTTGACCTTGGTGACTTCCTGTCTGGGATGTCATTCAGCACAGTATCCATAACAGAGTAGGCATCTAGTGGGTGTGAGTGGAAGTAAATTTAAATTGATGCTGAGCCTGGCATGGTGACACAGTCCTATAATCCCAGTGGCTTGGGAAACCGAGGCAGATGGATCCCCTCAGTGACTTAGCAAGGCTCTGTCTCAAAATTAAACAAACAACAACAACAACAAAGAACTGGGGATTTATTTCAGTGGTAAAGTACCCCTGGGTGCAATTTCCAGTACCCAAAAAGAAATATTTTTATTTTTAAATGGGGATAGGGTGCTTCCTCGCACGCATCCCTTCCCTGTCCTTCCTCTCCAATGCCCCAGATCAGATGGCAGCAGTTGTACCCGCTCCCTGGTGCATTTCCTCTCTGCCATGGGGCTGAATACCCCCGGGAGCCTGCGCGGTTCAGGTCAGGAAGATGGAGAGTTTGGGGAGGGACGCAGAGAGGACAGGGAGGAAGGCAGATGGACAGGGTTGTGTGAGTTAGCTAACTCTGGGTGAGGAGGGAACCTCCTCTCACTCCTGCTGGCTGGTCTTGGACAGGCAGTGGGTCCAATTTCTGCACCGAGCTCCTTTTCTAAGGGAAAGCAAAGAATTCCAGGTCATCGCTAAGGTCCTGTGGTTCATCCCTGGATTGTGTTGCCCCAAAGTTAGCTCAAGAATCCTTCCAGCTGCTTCTCTTGTTTATGAGTGACCTTTTACCTACAGATTCTAGCCCTTCAACAGTTGTCCTGTGTCAGGGGCAGTCAGAAGGCCAAATGGCCGGAGAAAAATGACCTTCCTTATCCATCTTCACACCAAGCCTTCCTGACTTATGTCCATTTGGCATTGTCACAATGACCCATCTGGGGCTGCTTTCTATTTACCTCTGGTACGATGTGTTTTGTGGAATGTGATTCTTGCCCTCTGGGACTTTTCTAAACAAAAAAAGGGGATTATGGCACAGTGGACACAGCTTCCTCAGGCTCCCTGGACACCTGTTTCCCCCACTGCTCTATTCTTTAACCTAAAGCACAGGCTCTGTGCTGTTGCTTCCCCTGGGGACCCTCACCTGATTCTACACTCTCTGCAGGAGAAGGGAACCACCCACAGCCCACCTGGGCTCCCACTGCTTCAGGGATGCTCCACGTACCTGCCCAGGTTGGCCTACCTCCCACCCCTCACTCCAAACAGCCACACATCTGTCTTGTTCTGGTTTTGTTTGTTTGTTTAGGCTGGTGATGACTTAGGATAATCAAAAAGCACATTTTAGGAGATTTTTTAAAAAATCAGAATTTCAGTAATAGCTCATTGGAGTTACTCGTTTTTATCTATAATCCAACACAGCTATGCAGAATGAAAACGATAACAATTACAATGAAACAATTTTAATGTGCTTATATTTTGTCTCTTCAGTTTGGTTAACTTCCTAGAGGAGAAAGACAGTATCTTAGACATCTCTCTCCATGTCTAGCATAGAACTGAACACGTAGTCATTCCTACCTATTGAATGAATCAATTTCTTCAGGCCATGGACAAAAATTAGTCCAATGAACTCCAAGAGCGGGGTGTAGTGTGTGGTGAGTGATGAAAGGGTAGCCAACATGGAGAGGGCTGGAACTGTGGAGATCTTCCTGCCTGGGCCAAACGCAGTTCCCTGCAATTGTGCCCCCTGGGCACCTGTTAGAGAGGGCATTTCTGTGTGGCCATGATCACACCACTGCTGTGGGGAAATCCCCTCCACCTCTGCCTAGTCCTTCTCTGTCACCACCACCATCAGTGTCATCTCCATCACCATCATTACGTCCTTGCTGACACTCCCCAGCACAGGGCCTGGCCTACGGGGGGAACTCAGTAACTGCCTCCAGCCCATGGTTTCTGATCATGGGTGGGTTTAGTGCATGTTCCCACATTTTCATGGGCACCTGGAAATCTGCCTTGGGTTTATCCTAAGTCTTTCTCAATTTGAGGATCCAGACTTTCCTCCTTTGTAAAGGCTCTGTTATGGGTCCTCAGTAAGAGGCTTAGCTCTCCCGCACATTGGGGTTCACGCTCAGCCAGGCAGATGGGATGCAAAAATGGGCCCAGGACACTGCCATAATCAGAACCAGGTTTATTTCCCTTTGAGATCCTGGGGTGAAGGGCCAGCTACTGGGCTTCTAGAATATGACAGCCCTTCAGGAAGGAGACTTTTTTCCTTCCCTCTGCCCACTCCTATTTTGGCGAAATTTGTCTCAGGACTCTGGAGTGATATCTAATCCTAAGCAACCACCTGTCACAGGCCCCTGATTCTGTGGCAGCCTCTCTTTCCCCTCACATCACACTTGACTCAAAAACCTAAGAGTTGAGTGTGGTGGCACGAGCCTGTAACCCCAGCGGCTCAGGAGGCTGAGGCAGGAGGATTGTGAATTCAAAAGCCAGCCTTGGCAACTAAGCAAGGCCCTAAGCAACTCAGTGAGACCCTGTCTCTAAATAAAATATTTTAAAAAAGGGCTGGGCATGTGGCTTAGTGGTTAAGCATCCCTGGGTTCAATCCCAGGTATCAAAATTCAAGAAAAGAAAAACATTATCAAGAGGGACTCATCCCACACTGCCATGCCTGCCGCTCACACCAGGAAGCCTCTGCCTCTTTGCCTCTGTCACATAGGTTAGGAACATGGGCTTTGACACCAGGTGTACTTGAACTCCAGTCTCAGCTCTGATTGAATAGCTGAGTGTCCTTGAGCAAGCTCCTTAATGGCACTAAACATCAGTTTCCTCAACTGTAAATAAATTTAGCAATGTGAGGGCTAAATTATAGATACACGTATCGCCTGGCAGAATCCTGGCATGGAAATGAAGTGAACCATAGGCCTTCGCTCCTCTGTTAACACTATTACTGAGATCATCTTACTGCTGCCCCCACTGCTACTATCGCTGGAAGTCATTCTGTAACCTCTGCTCCTTTAAGGCAGCCCCTGTGATGAGCACTTTGGGGGATGCTAAGCCCAGCTTTCAGGAGGCTCCTAAAACCCCATCCAAAGTAGCCACTCCTCCTCTGCAACCTCTGTTCCATAGTTCAGAGTGCCCTTCTGTTACTCTGGCTCTGGTTTAAGTTCTTGGTTCAGATCCCTCTCATTGGCCTGCAGGTTCCTTAGGGACTGGGACCATATGTCAATCACCCCCATCCCCTTGGCTGAGGAATTTACATGATTTGTTGACATTCTCACACCAGAAAGGAGGCAAAGCCAGCATCTGCCCAGCAGGAAGCAAACATTCAACTGTGGACCCTCAATCAGGCTTAGAAAACCCCAAGCCACCATTTCAATTGTGCCCTCCCTGGCCCGAGGGTCAGGCCCTGCCAGGAAAGCTGGGAGGCAGGTCCACTGCTGCTTCAGGGATTGAAGGGGAAGTCCTCTGAAGCAGGTTCCAGCCTCCATATCTCCCTGCCTTGCTCATCCTTCCTGTCTGCACTCCAACAGTGGGAGCAGCTGTCTGCTATCTTCTGCCTGATGCCAACAGTCAAGGTCCCTGATAGAGTTATAGGTCGTGGTCAGCGTCCTGCAGTAGGGCAGCTACCACATACCTAGGTTTGAAATAATTTTTATACATGCCACTCCATCAGGACTACCTGAGCTATAAAGGGCTGATATTTCCTGTTCTAAAATTGAGTGGCTCCTGACAGTGATCAGGACATTGGCAGAGCAGCCCACCCTGATCCCAACAGTGGAACTTAGGGCTTCCCATAGGAGGCGTTCTACACAGGGAGAGATGAGCTGATGTCCAGCCCCTGCCTGGCTTTCCAGGATAGGACTGATAAGCTTATCCAGGAAAGAAAATTCCACCGGAGGACATGCTGGCTGTCGGAAAAGCTTCTCACTGTTAAAAAAGCAAATTTGAGGTCACTACAAGCCAGACTGTCCCTGCCTAATACAGAAATCCCCAGACAACATCTCTGCAGGGGCTGAGGCAGCTGCTACCTGCTCCTTTCTACCCTCCTTTCTCAGGTCCACTCCATTGCCAGACAGCTGTGATCCTTAGCAGACCCTGAGAGTGGCTCTGTGGAGCTTCTTTCCAGATCTTTGAGGATACCTTTCCAAGAAGAATCTCCTTTCCAAATCTTCTTTTCTCTGGCTTAAGCACCTCAGTTCCTCAGCAAGAATGGATACCAGGAAGATGGTTTCCTTTGGGAATAAACCTGGAGTGTCCAGATGAGCACTCTCTGGATAAAGCCTCGCTTTCCTCCTGCTCCTTGATGATAGATAAGCAAGAAGGAGGCAGCGCTGGCAAAACAGAGCTGGGAGATCTCGGGAGGGGATAACTCTCCAGGCCCCTAATTAGGGAGCACAGATAAACTCCAAATTAGACCACTTCAGTGTGCAAGGGCAGCATGTTCCACTTGCTATCAGAAGGGCTTTGTTGCTGCAAAGGGCTTGGAGATCTTTGTTCTGCAAATTGCCCATGGCCCCCGGCCCTTCGGCAGGGGCAGGGGAGATAGCACAGAGCCGCCCTGTTCCGGGGGCCTGGGCTAGGCAGGGATAAAAGGAGGCAGCGCTCTGGCTGCCCCAGCCTCGTGCTGTCTAGCCCCTGGCAACTGAGTTTCTCCCACTCGGTCGGCTTCCTCTTCCCCACCATGAGTCGGCAACTGAACTTCAAGTCCGGTGGTGACAAGGGCAGCTTCAGCGTGCATTCTGCAGTGGTGCCAAGGAAGACAGTGGGCAACTTGGCCTCTTACCGCACTGTTGGCCAAGGGGCTGGGGCTGGCTTTGGCAGCCGGAGCCTCTACAGTCTTGGAGGGAATCGGCATATTTCTTTCAACGTGGCTGGCAGTGGCGTTCGGGCTGGAGGGTACAGCTTTGGGCATGGCTCTGGGTATGGAGGGGGCCGGGCTAGCGGCTTTGCTGGAAGTATGTTTGGCAGTGTGGCCTTGGGGCCCTCGTGTGCCTCTGTGTGCCTGCCTGGGGGCATCCACCAGGTCACTGTCAACAAGAACCTCCTGGCCCCCCTCAACGTGGAGCTGGACCCTGAAATTCAGAAAGTGCGCGCCCAGGAGCGGGAACAGATCAAGGCTCTGAATGACAAGTTTGCTTCCTTCATTGACAAGGTGGGTCTAACAGGAGGAGGAGAAGGCGGTTCAGTGAGGTAGGAGAAATTTCCTTAATACCTGGGAAAGGGCTGGGCAACACGGATGGAAGGGTGTAGCTGGGCCTCAGGAGGGGCTCCCTCATCATAAGGGACAGAGAACAGATTTGACAGATTTGCAAGGCAGGTAGAACAACGGAATGAATGAATGAGTTGTCTTCTTTGGGGATTATACAGAGAAGGGTGGGAAATTGGGCAGAGGGTAGCCCTACCTTGAGAAAGCAGTGGTGGGCTCCTAGGGACAGCTGGGTAGGTCCCCAGCTCTCCGAAGAACATGAAGGGCTAAGAGAATCAAACGCTGTTCAGAAGGAAGAACTCAGAGCACAGGAAGAAACACTTAGCTGAGATATGAAAAAATATCTCTTGGGACCAGAGTAGGCAACAGAAGAAAGCTGTGGTGCTTTGAGTTTTCAGGGACTGGTAGTCCAGAGGTGAGGGAGCGAGAACCTGTAAAGGGTCATTTTTGCAGCAGATGCCAAGGTCAGTGAGTCAGAACTGGAGACAAAGGACTTTACAAAAATCCCCTTAATCTGGAGAGTCAATGGTTCTCAGGGAGCCTGAGAGCATCCCTGTGGTTCCAGGTGGCCATTGGTTTGGGTTCCAGGTGCGGTTCCTGGAACAGCAGAACCAGGTGCTGGAGACCAAGTGGGAGCTGCTGCAGCAGCTGGACCTGAACAACTGTAGGAAGAACCTGGAGCCCATTTATGAGGGCCACATCAGCAGCCTGCGGAAACAGCTGGAGACCCTGTCCGGGGACAGGGTGAGGCTGGACTCGGAGCTGCGGAACATGCGGGACGTGGTGGAGGACTACAAGAAGAGGTGAGCAGGACCTGCCAAAGGTCAGGGGTCATGTACCTAATCTCTGAACCACTTTTTCAGAGGTGAGGGAGTCAATTCCAGGATCAGGAGCTCATGTCCCTTCTCTGGTTATGGGGGAGAGCCCCACCCTGTTTGGTGAGGAGGCCCTAGCTGGTGGATAGAGGGGCCTATGCTTATTGACCCAATAGTTTGGAAAGCCCCATAGGCACCTGGGTATTTTCCTAGGGTGCAGCAGAAGCACAGAAGTCAGATAATCCAGGGGATTCTTACACCTACCACTAGCCTCAGTGCTCATCCCAAGGACTCTGCAGCCTGGGCATTTACCTGGCCAGCAGAAGAAGAGACTACTTGGCTGAGAGGGCTGAGCTTCTGCCATCTTCTCTCCCTGCCCGCAGGTATGAGGTGGAGATTAACCGGCGCACTGCAGCGGAGAATGAGTTTGTGGTGCTCAAGAAGGTGAGGAGAGAGGAGCCTATGGTCTCTTCTGCCCCTATCTTAAGCAACTCTGCTCAGGGCTTCAGCCCAGGCCACCTGGAGAGGGGGCTGGTGTCTGAACATGGTTAGGGTCCTAGTTCTGGCCTCCAGCAAGTTAGAGAGGAAGGACACACACAGGAGACAAGATAGGGACAGAAGGGAGAGAATTCTGGGATGGGAACAGGAAGCCCTGGTTCAGCGTGCCCTTCTGTGTGACCTGAGGGCACTCAGCACCTCTCTGGACTTAGTGTTCTCCATATGCAGCAGAGGAAGTGCAGTCCCCACCCGCTTTGCCAGTTCCCAAAGATGCAGTGAGTCTGAGAAGAAACTGATGCTGAGTGATTCTGTTCATCAACGTGCTTCCCTGTGGGCTAATAATAATAATAATAATAATAATAATAAAGTCAGGTGGCTTTGGGGACAGGGTCAGAGGAAGAGCAGCTTAGGTTAGGGTTAGGGTTGTATTGATCCGTGGCTGTGGCTGTCCCTCTGCAGGATGCAGACGCAGCCTACACGGTCAAAGTGGAGCTTCAGGCCAAAGTGGACTCTCTGGACAAAGACATCAAGTTCCTGAAGTGTCTGTATGACGCGGTGAGGATGCCCCTCCCCAGCTCTGCTCTGTCTCCTTGCAGCTGAGGGCTTCCCCTGACTCTTCCAGGAGAGGAAGGGGGTCACAATAGGGAGGGATGTTTTGGTGGCAAGGTGCAAATTCCTGCACTAGTTGACCATGAAAGTACAGCGTCCTGTCCCTGGAGTGCACATAGGAGGCTGTGCACATAGGAGGCCGTTGATCTGGGCCATGGTAGTGGTCTTGCCTGCAGGCAGGAGAAATGACCCTGTGAGGTCCTACTAATGCACAGCTTCTTAGGTTGGGTGGAACTGTAGGGAATTCATTCTTTCTCCTGCTGCCTGCTGCTGCGAGCTGTTTTCCTTTGGCTCTTCAGACATCTTCAGCAGACACTACCCCACTTTGTCCCTGTGGAACCCAGTGACCCATTCTCCAGGGAACACAGGCCTAGAAGACTCATGGGACACAGGAAGGAAGCTGGGGCCTTGACTCTGTCCTCATCTCTCATTCTAGGAAATCGCCCAGATCCAGACTCATGCTAGTGAGACCTCTGTCATCCTGTCCATGGACAACAACCGGGACCTGGACCTGGACAGCATCATTGCCGAGGTCCGCGCCCACTATGAAGACATCGCCCTGAAGAGCAAGGCTGAAGCCGAGGCTCTGTACCAGACCAAGGTGGGCACTGGGTGGGTCTCCCTCCTTCCTGGGAAGGGTGATCTCCACCTGTGAATGTGAGAGGTGGCCTTCCCAGGACACTGTAGATTCAATGAAGAAGGGTTATAACCAGTGGTTCAATGCTGAAAAGTCTCAGCAGACAGTATTATCAAAGATAAATCAGGAAACTGGTATGGATGTACATACTCACTAGAGAGGGACAAGCAATCCTCAAAAGAGGAGAGAATGATGTGTTCTTATTGTAAAACAAATGCATTTTCAGGGTTGGGGGCATCTGCCATAGAGCAGAAGGAGAGTCACAAACACAGAGTAGCTATAGGCAAGCTGAGGTTGGGTGGGGAGTGAGAGCAGGGGAGGCCCTGAGCTCTTTTCTGATGGGTGTGGGAAGATGTTCAAGAGCAACTGAAATTCTAGGAGTGTTCCAAATAATGAAATTATGTGCTGGGTAAGACTCTTTGGGGCTGTCTTATGGGAAAATCCTTACTGGAATCTCCTCCAGGGCCCCTGCTCTCATGCTCCTTTTCACACAACCATTAGATCCCACCTCTGCTAGTCAGCTTTCCTTCTCTGTGACAAAATGCCTGAGAAAATCAACTTACAAAAAGGGAAAAAGTTTATTTTGGCTCATGATTTCAGAAGTTTTAGTTTATAGTTACTCGGCCCTATTGCTTTGGGCCTGTGGTGACACAGTACACTGGGTGGGGGTGGGGTGGGGGTAGATACGGCAAGGAGGCTGCTCATGGAAGCAAGCACAGAGAGGAGGGACTGGGGTCTCCATATCCTGCCAAAAGGCACACCCCCAAAGACCTAACTTCCTTCCACTAGGCCCCACCTTCTAACTCTTCCACACCTCAGTAGCACCAAGCTGAGGACAAAGCCTCTTGGGCCTTTGGGGACATTCCAGATCTAAACTATAGCACAATTCACAGCAAGGATGGGGGTGTCGGCCATCTGCATGTCTTATCCTGTCTCTTGTCCTGTCCATGGCCATGCCATTCCCTGTTTCCCAGAGGACTGGGCACAGGGAAGAGTGAAGCCACTAATTCCACCCATCCTGCACTGTGACCCCCTCAAGGGTACACGGAACCCTGGGCTTCCCTCCTCTCTGCCCCCATGACCAAGAAAATGCCACAGGAGAATGAAAGACTTAGGAGGATGGGGACCTTACCTGTCCCACTCACTGCTGGGTACCTGCGACAGAAGCTGGTCTTTAAGAAAATGCCTGTAGGACTATGTGATAAATGAGAGAAAGCAAGGGACAGGGCTCTTCTCACGCTGGGAAGTGCTTAATAAATGTGAGTTGCATCTTCTCCTTACCTAGCCCAGGAAGGACTGCAGGCCTGGTGACAATACAGGCAAGGGATTGCAGATAGGTTCTGCTTAGAGAACGGGGTGAACTTCTTGCTCAGAGCTGTAAGGATGCCCAGGTGCTAGCTTCTTTAGCACCTGCTCTAGAGTCGCCCTGGCTCAGCCTGGTGGGGGGGGGTGTTTGCCCAGGACCCCTCCCTGCCTGTCTCATCACTCCCCTCCCATCTCTGGAACACTAGATCCAAGAGCTGCAGCTGGCAGCTGGCAGGCATGGAGATGACCTCAAACACACCAGGAACGAGATGTCAGAGCTAAACCGACTCATCCAGAGGATCCGCTGTGACATTACCAACGTGAAGAAGCAGGTGGGCAGCTACTACCCTGCAAAGACCACTGAGACTGAGTTTCCTTTCTGTGATGGAGATACTGGAGTCAACCTTTAAGAAGAAGCTAGTTCCCTCTCCTGGGCTTAGGAGCCCCTGGGACATTACGGTTCTTCTCCCCCACCCTGCCTTGTGTTGCTGTCATCAGGATTGGGAGGATTTGAGCCTATTCTTCCACTCCCCCCAGTTTACAGATGAGTCAAGAGGGACTGGAGGAATTGACTTGCCATGGGCCCCAGCTACTCAGTATTGGGGTCAGGATTCAAGTCCACGTGTCCCCTTATTCAGAATTTCTCTTGTGTCTAACACACCTGCCCACGAGTACTCAAGTATGCCCCTCTAGGGGTTTCCCATGTGCCTCCTGCTTCCACTGGGCATGGAACATGGGTGGGGAGTATGGGACATGTGTCAGGGCTCTCTGTGGCCATGTCAAGTTCCTGCCCTCAGGGCAGGGCATGGTCCTGGTGAAGGAGGGTCATGGCAACAAATGAATCCCTCCTGGATCCTCTTCCCTGTCCATGGGACCATTTCCATTTTACCCTGGGGGATCCTGTCTTATGTGAGAGTAGCAAATCCTAAATGCTGTTTCATAGGCTGATGACTTTAGAGGCAGAAAGATGCTTCTTGGGGCCTCCAGAAGAGGCCAGGTCAGCTGACAAGTGACAGTTAGCCAACAGGCTAGAGACCATTATCCTCCCTGTGCCCCACAACATGCATGCAATGTAGGGGGCTCAGGGACAGCTTTAAGGCCCACAACTGGCTGGTTCACAGACTCTATGAGGACTGCTCCTCCTCCCCTGCTAGTACCTGGCATTACAGTGCCCCGGGTGCTTGGCAGAGACCAGCTTTTGAGGTTTTGGCTATAAGTTAGGGTCTGCTGTTCTAAGGGAAAGTGACCTCCCCCATTCAGGTCACATGCAGGAGCAGTTAGGCAGACCCTCCCTGCAGAGTGCCGGAGGAATCCAGACACACTCTTGCTGCTAACAGGAAGGAGGGGTCCAGCCACAGTGAGGGCCCTGGGCATGCTGCCTGATCATTAGGGGTGAGCTGCTTGGAGACTTAGGCATGATTCTCCTCATCTGTTGTCCTTGAACCTATAGCCATTGGTAACCTTCAACTCAGGCATTAGACAGCTTTTTCAAGCACTGAGTTTTCTTTCTGTCCTCTGAAATGCACCTGCTCCTGTAGCTTCCCAGGACAACTCCTTTAAACATTCACCCACAATAAAAAGTAGAGGAAACTGGGAGCAGTGGCACACACCTATAATCCCAGTGACTCAGGAGCTGAGGCAAGAAGATTGCAAGCTCCAAGGCAGACTTGGCAAGTTCAAGGCGAGCCTGGACAACTTAGTGGGACCCTGTCTCAAAATAAAAAATAAAAAGGGCTGGGGATGTGGCTCAGTGGTAAAGTGCCCTGGGCTCAATCCTCAGTACTCCCCCCCACCCCCAACACACACACAAAAGAGGAGCCCCATGTTCTGGTGTTGGCTCTGGCTCTTCCTAGCTGTCACCTTGGGCCTCATCTGTAAAATGAGGGAGTCGGGCTCCTTAACCCTGTGATCTCAACGTTCTTTTATGCTGATCTCCTCTCCCTCTGCCCCTCAGTGCTCTAACCTGGAGACATCCATTGCGGATGCTGAGCAGCGAGGGGACAATGCCCTTAAGGATGCCCGGGCCAAGCTGGACGAGCTGGAGGGAGCCCTGCACCAGGCCAAGGAGGAGCTGGCCCGGATGATGCGTGAATACCAGGAGCTCATGAGCCTGAAGTTGGCCCTGGACATGGAAATCGCCACCTACCGCAAGCTGCTGGAGAGTGAGGAGTGCAGGTGGGTGGACATGCTCTGGCAGGAGGCCCCTGAGGGTTTGGGAAGAACCAAAGGAGAAAACCCGAAAAGATCTTTATCCAGAAAAGTTGAGTTCTCAGGAAGTGATGGAGTGTGGGTGATAGAAATAACAATAGTAATTAATAATACCATCCATATTGTATCCACTCATACCATACTTATTTCATCCCTGGCAGTGCTACGTAGATTAGCTCATTCAATCCTTGCAACTTCCCTGGGTCTATCTGGGAACATCCTGCTGCCCCTTAAGCCCATTCCTCTGTTAGCTCTTCTTGTTCCATCCTCCTCACCTGTCCAGGTGCACCTTGAGCTTGTTGGAGGTGTGCTTGGCCTGCCACTCCAGCTTCCCCAGTGAGTTAGGGAGATGGGAAGCTCTGTGTATGGGCTGGACACTGGCACCTCTTGCAAACTATTATTTGACTGAGGTCATTGCCTGGCTACTCTAAAGATTCAGGGATGACCCCCAAAGCTTCTCAGGTTCTGCTTGTGTCAAAGAAGCACTGGAGTTTCTGCAGGTATCCAATGGGCTCAGAAACCTACATCAGTCCGGGGGTGGGGGGAGGGGCGGGGGATAGCAGCTCTGAAGACTGGAATGGATGACATACTCTTATTTCACTTCTCTCCCTAACAGGATGTCAGGAGAGTATCCTTCCCCTGTCAGCATCTGTAAGTACTTGTGTGCTTTGACCTTAAATTGTGACTGTGCAGGCAGGGAAGGACCTTAGTCACCCCTCATGTGTGCAGATAAGCCGTTTAAGAACCAGAGAGGGAAAGGCTTGCTGAGTTCCCAAAGCCAGAGGGTAGACCCATGGCCAGAGATCAGGTGTCCTGACTGCCTACCCAGGTGTCTTTCGTCTTTATCATGTTGACTCTCTGTTCCCAGGGGATGGCAGCAAGAGATAGCTATTGCCAAAGGCGGGGTTGGGGGGGACTGTTCTATGATGCATGGGTCTGTGTGAGGCTTGGGAAGTTGAGTTTGTAAATTATAAGTAGACCTGGGCTGGGATATTAGAGAACGGGGATCTTGGAGATCAAGCTGACAGTATTGGATCTCTGGTTTTCTCAGCAGGGCTTAGAGTCACACCAGAACATAGAAGATCTTCTGTCTCTCCCTAGCAGGGGAGAGAGGTTGGAGGGTGGAAGATTAGCAAAGAGGTTAATAGGAGGGGCAGTGAGTAGGTGTCCAGGACAGGTGGGCACACAGGTGCCTTGGACCAAGGAGACAGGCCTCTGTGCATTAATAGGGCAAAACTCAGCTAGATTGGTTATAAGCTGAGAAAGCTAAGGACAGGAAGTGGGGTCAGGTGCCTTTGGAATATTCTTCCAACTGTGAGCTGGGCCCCTAAGAACCCTGTGTGTCCTGGGGAGAGGAGACCCCAGCCCTGCCTGAGTGGGTGCTGAGCCTGGCTCTCCCTCTGCAGCCATCATCAGCAGCACCAGTGGCAGTGGAGGCTACGGCTTCCGTCCCAGCACAGTCAGCGGCGGCTATGTGGCCAACAGCACCAGCTGCATCTCCGGAGTGTGCAGTGTCCGCGGTGGGGAGAGCAGGAGCCGGAGCAGTGCCAACGATTACAAGGATACCCTGGGGAAGGGCTCTAACCTGAGCTCCCCCTCCAAGAAAGGCAGTCGGTAAAGAGGGCAACCCGTGCCCTCCATCACCCAGGACCCCAGCTCTGGCTTCCACGCTGTGCTCCACTCCCATCAACCCCTCCTCCACCCTGCTGGTCCTGCTCCTGACCCCTGCTTCTGGCCTTGGCTAATTGCTTCACTTCTTCTGCCTGAGCCTGCTGAGCCTGGCAGGTCTGGACGGCCAAGCCCAGTGCAATTCCTTCCAGCACACCCCCGGACTCACCATCCCCCAGCTGCTCCAGCCTCTCCTCCTCTGCCAGCCTCTGTCTCAACACCACCCTGGGCCTCAGATGGAAACACCCTCGCATGCTGGACTTTTGTCTCAGCTCCTGCCTCCGCTAGGAGGTGGCTCTGTGTTCAAGAGGAAGAGGACTGAGAACAACTGACCAAGAGTGGCCCAGGTCCCCACCTCCCCGCTCAGTCCCATGCTTCATTCTGAATGGGACCAAGCACAACTCCGGGTCTCCTTCTTCACTGTACTCACAAACAGAGAAGAGGAGACACGGTTCCCTTCTGTGTTCTTTAAGACCCTTCCTGTTGCATCTCAATAAACAGCACAATCTGAAGGCTTGGTCTCTGAGTGCTCAAAGTGCACACACATGCCACAATTCAGATGCTCACGTGAGCACACACACACATGCACACACGCACATATACATGCAGCACAGGCACATAAGTGCGCCGCCGTGTTGCCTACACAGCCTGTATTTGTATTTGATTTTCTCTGCAGAGCAGCAGCAGAACAAACTGAGCATGTATGTGACAGAGGGGAGGGAGCCTGGTTGGGGCAGCAGGCAATGGAGTATGGAGCACAGTTTGAGAGGAGGGCTGGGAGAGAAGGAGGACGAGGTACAGAAAGGCTGTGCATGCAGCCTGGTTGGTGGCTTTCTGTTGAAAGGGTCAGGATAGGCTGCAAGTTTTAGTGACTGTGCAGTTGGCACCTCCCCAACACACTCCTGTTGGCCCACTGACAAGATGGCCAGTCCTGCCTGTGAGGAGGAGTGCAAGAAGGATGGACAGACAGATTCCTCAGGTCTCTGGTTAGAGAGAGGTGGAGGGAGAGGAGGGGAGGGAGTCTGTGGGTGATGGGAAGCCAGAGTCTCTACAGCCAGTGGGCATGAAGCCCTTTGCGGGGCAGCCATGCTAATGGGCTGTTTGGGGCAAATGTTAGGGTTTCAGTTACAGAGACCAGCAAGAGGAAGCCGAATTGCCCATGGAGGTGAAGGGCCAAATGGGCTGGGCTAGTGGCTAGGACATCCAAAATAGTGACTGTGGCTTGGAGCAAGTTCACAGAGCCTGGCTCGAAATCCCCACCACCCAGTGGTCATCACCCTTTGGCCATCAACCAAAGCCCTCTGCTGGCCTCAAGCTGGAAGCCAGTGCCAGCAAGTAGAGGTGGAGGAGGGTGAGCAGATCTGACTCAGTGACAAGTTTGCTTCCTCAGTTGGCAAGGTGCGTGAGGAGTGTGTGCACGTGTGTTTGCACATGTGTGTGTGTGCATGTGTGTTTGCAGCAGTGGGCACAGACCTTGCCATTTCCCAGTGGAGACCTCATATATGCCTCACTGCCTCTGCTCCCCTGTTCCCTTTACAGTAGAAAGGAATGCAATGGGATAGCAAGAAGAACTTTCCAATCAAAAGGCTTTAAGAAATGGCTAGATTCTCAATTTAGGGACAGAGGCTTCTCTGAATGCATCTGGTTTATCATCCAGAGTTGGGCAGGGAGTGAAGAATTCTCCCACCATCCTTTATGACCCAGGGCTCCCATGGGTTCTCTGAGTGGGGAGGGTGATCCTGGGTTCTGAGTCTGTTTTCTAGAGCCAGAGAGACTGAGTGGAGCTTCCTGCAAGGGGCAGTGAGGAGCCCCCATGGAGCCTGTGGCAGGTTCACCGATGAGAGGACTCAGCTGGCTAACAGACCAGGCAGGATTTGGTGGACAATCTGGGGAATAAATCAGGGCACTGCAGCGAAGGAACAGTGACAGGGACTCAAAGGCAGGGAGGCCACTGTGTTACATCAAGCAAATCTCCATGGCCACTGGAGTGTGGCTGCCAAGAGCTGTGGTTGTGACCTTAAGGATCCTTTGGTTGTGTCTGGATCCAGAGGGAAAGAACAGAGTGCCAGATGAGGACTGCCTGGCATGGTCTCTGGTAGAGGAAGACACAGTGTGAATTTGTCCTCTGGTGGGTGCCTACCTGTCACTTTGCAGCTTACAAAGCACTGTCACATCATTATTTGAGAATGGCACTGGGACAGACGGACTTGCTACTGCCATTTTACACATAAAGATTGAGGGTCAGAGTCCCTGACTATCAACAAATACCCCAGCTGGAGGGACCCCTGAGGCACCCTGCCTATTGCCTGCCTTTGACAGGGAGGAGGAAAGAGAGCAGCAGGCTCGGCTCCCCTCACAAGTCTGAACAGGAGCTTGTCCTAGGCAGTGCTCCCACCTGCCTGCCCCTCCCACCTGGCAGCTTCCAGAAGACCAACCACAGGGTAAATGAGGAAGAGGACTTGGCACTACCCTGAGGTTCCAAGGTGCGGTGGCCTCTGTCATGCACAGCAGGAACTGCTCTGTTTATTTCACCAGGATAGCAACTGTGACATAGAGACACTCAAGGCCTTTGTCTAAAGTCACCCTGTGCTTTTTCCAACACACCCTTGTTAGGACCACACCGGGCTCCTTCAGGGGAGAGGGGATCAGGTCCCCAGGTTGGATGGGAGGCACAGGGATCTTGGAAGCTTCAGGAGTAGAGGCTGGTAACCTCTCGGGAGCTGGGTGCTATACAACACACAGGGTGTTCAGTGGGGTGGAGAGGGGAGTGCAGGTGAGGGGGGCAACCCAGGGAGGTGGGAGGAGTAGCAGCACTAGAGGAGACATAGGACAATCTTCCCAGAAGCCCACCAAGGTTGGCCTTGGGACTTGGACTTGCAGTGGAGCCAGTCCTGGTCTCTCCCTGGAGGACACGGGACTTAGGGTGCTCTCTGAGTCAGGCATCGCCTGGTTTTCTTCTGATGCTTGCTGCATCCATCTCCTCTACCTCCAGGACCGTGTGCAGGGGCTGGGCAATCTTATGCTCTGTTGCCACTCAGAGGTGCTACAACTGAGCCTCAGAAAGAGCACGTGAAGGAACCTGGCCCAGTCTCTGACCCTAAAGCCATCGTGCCTTGTGTTTAGGCCTCTGTCACAACAATTCCTACCAGCCCAGCCAACCCAGCTAGTATGAGGACCAACAAGGCAAAGGCCTTGGAGTATAAAGTGCCATTCTAAGGCAGGGAGTTAGGAGAGTCTCAGTTAGGACTGAGTGTCCCATTGTCTTGCAGGAGGTGCTACACTGCAGGCCTGGGCCTCAGACATGTCCAGCTTCCTGTCCATGAACAACAACTAGCTCTCTGAGCTGGTTGCTTCATCGAAAGCCACATGCCAGTGGAAGAACATGGCCCAGGGGAAGGAGGCCAAGGCCTACAAGACCTACAAGACCAAGATCACTCTGTAGCGCTCTCTGGTTGGGCTCCCTTTATCTTACAACAGCTCTAGGTCAAAAAGCGCTAAGTGCCAGGCATGGTGGTGCATGCCTATAATCCCGCGACTTGGGAGGCTGAGGCAGGAGGATCATGATTTCAAACCCAGCCTCAGCAACTTAGCAAGGCCCTAAGCAACTTAGTAAGACCCCGTCTCTAATAAAATATAAAACAGGGCTGGGAATGAGAAATTGTGCTCCATTGGTGTACAATGTATCAAAATGCATTCTACTGTCACGTGTAAGTAATTAAGACAAATTTAAAAAAAGAAAGAAAGAAAAGGGCTGGGGATGTGGCTTGGTGGTTAAATGCCCCCCCTGATTTCAATCCCTGGTGCCAAAAAAAAAAAGGAAAAAGAAAAAGAAAATGCTATGAGTGCTAAAATCCAGACCTAAAAGAGACCAAACAGAGATTAAGAAAAATCATTGAGGGAAACTCACAGTAATGGGATCTCACTTGACCTTCTGAATGGCTTTCTATGGGTGGATTGCGAGGGTATTGGTTGTAGGTGTTGAGAGGCACGATAGGGAAGTAGTCAGAGATGAGAAGTGGAAAAGCTGGAGATACGGGTAACATGGGGGAACTTTGCAATGGGGGACCTGATAGACAATGCTCAAGGTGGCATGGGCTGCTTTGGGAGACAGGCCACTGCCCATGCTGGAGTGTTTCAGAACAGAATCAATTTCTCTCGACAGGTATTTAGGGGCTCAAGAGGTGGGTGGAGGTTTGGATCAATTGGATCAAGATCAATGCTTCCTAAACGTCACCTTGCATATGAATCTTCTTTGTGACAAAGCCCTTTCTGGCTCAGCAGGTCTGGTGGGGCCTAAGTCTATATTTCTTACAGGCTCCCAAGGTGTTGATGCTGCTGGTCCAGGGACCTCACTTTGAGTAGCAAAGGACACAATGATAATGTCCAAGCTCCCTTCCAACTTGAGAACATGGAATACTCCAATAACTTAACTATTTCTGCCCCAACTTAGTTACAAAGACCCAGCAGGGGATTTCACCAAGAGAGACAAACCCTGGGTAGAGGAAATGAAGGCCATTTGCATCTGAAGCAGGGTTTTCAGATTTGAGTCTCCTTTTCCTTTAAGCTTCATTGGACCACCTCATTGGGGCAGTTGAATAATTTTCGTGAGTCTGGGACTCAGCTCAGGGAGAGGTGAGCAGGCAGAGGAAAGAGCAGGAACAAAGGCTAGGTGGCCTGAAGCTGCAGTTGGCAGTGACTCAGAATGACTGACAGTGACCTTCAGTCGAAATGAACCTGGGAAGAGAGATGGGGCAGGTTCACAGACGCCTGCTCCACAGTGAGAAGTTTGAACTTGATTTATAAAATGGAGATAGGAGGGAATCCTTTTCAACAGGAGTAGAGCTGTCTTTCAGAAATCTCACGCTTCCTCGAGGGTGAGTTGGAGGGACTGAGATCAGAGGCGAGAAGCCTGGCTGGAGCCGCAGAGTGATTGAGACCACCAGGAGGCAT